TTATTATTATTGTTATTATTATTATTATTATTATGAGCAGTGGTATATGTAAAATGTAAATACATTTTTAAATTAATTAGCTAACTGACTAACTGAAAAGTTAGCTATAACTGTGTGGCCACAAAAATAATTTTAAAAATATATATTTTTAAATTACATGTATTAATTATAGTCTTTTTTATTAACTACTTTTATTAAATAAATCACTAACTGAAAAGTTAGGTATAACCATGTACACTCAACTTATCACGTTTAATATAATATTATTATTATTATTATTATCATCATTATTATCATCATAAATAATTATATGAATAATTTTAAATTATAATTATAAATAATGCATTAGTTATAACTGTGTGAAAGGTTAGTTATACAAAAAATAATTTCACACAATTTAGTCCTTTTTAAACGTAAATCAGAATATCTACTTATAATTCTGAATATATAGAAGTAAATCAGAATATATAATTAGAAATCTGACTATGTAAATGTGAATCTGAATATATAGATACAAATTGTAATATCAAAATATAAATCATGAATATATAGAAGTAAATCTGAATATATAGTTTAAAGTCTGAATATATACATTTAAATTGTGAATAATGTACTTATAGTTCAGTATATATAATATATTTATATATATAAATATATATATATATATAAATCAAAGTTGCAGTATATAGATGTGTCAAATTAATTTTTGACAAACAATTACAAAATAATTTTTGACAGTTTAGCTTTGCACAACTAGATTAAAACAAGTCCTTTTTGAAGCTTGAAAGTTTTGGACCCCATTGACCTTCACCGTATTGATCAAAATAGCAGAAACATTCTTCAAAACATCTTATTTTTAATGTGCGGTAGGAAGAACAAAGCCATACAAGTTTGGAACATCATAAGGGCAAGTAAATTATAACAACTTTCATTTTTGAGTACACTATCCCGTTAAGAAGTACTTGAAAAGTATAGAAATATTTTAGAAAATCACTTTATTGTAATCAAAAAATGCCTTTCTTCTGTGTATGTACCCAACTGACCTCATCAGATCCATCTGAACAGTCATTTTGTCCGTCACAGCGTTGACCAGCCGACACGCAGCCTCCTCCAACACAAACATACTCGTTCTGAGCACATGATGTCGGCCGAGCTGCGCAGACACAAGGAATTCGCAAAATAAAGTCAAGACAAGAAATCTTCCGTCAAAGAATCCTATAATAAGACGCATCAATCTACATGTCCTGGGACAATCTGTTCCTTGAAAGCATCCGTATCGCACACGTGACTCCCTGCTGTAGATCGCCGCGGTCTGAAATAAACCGAGCTGCAGTTTCAGTTAGCGAGAGGTTGCGAGAGATTTCTGGCTGCACTTTTTGAAGTGTTTTCAGCCACATTAATATTAATCGTAGGGTAAAATTTCCCTGGCTTGCCTTGAGTCACAGGGAAGAACCGAAAAAAATGGAAAGGGAGTGTGAGAGCTTTCTGAATGCATCTCCAGCGGTCTTACGATCAGAATAAATCACTGGCCGGTGCAGGCGTGGATGGACTCAGGTACTCTGTGCACAGCACACAACGCTGAAATATTCAAGACGTGGGCCAAGAAAAATGGCAGGGAGACCGCAACTTAAAAAAAAAAAAAAAAAGGGGAGATACACTTCAAGTCTCTTGGGGTTAAAGTAACAGATGAAGCTGAGGTTCGGAACATGCATTATTCTGAGTTCTTGAGTGTTCTTGGGTTCTTTAGCTTTAGATAAAAGTTGAAAAACAAATCAATATATTATGCAATATAATATAAACATGATCATTTTTAGTATGTATACATATTTATATAAACTGTATATATATATATATATACAGTGGTGTGAAAAAGTTTTTGCCCCCTTCCTGTTTTTTTAATTGTTTGCATATTTGTCACACTTAAAAGATTCAGATCATCAAACACATTTTAATATTACACAAAGATAACCTGAGTAAATACAAACTGCAGTTTTGAAATTATGATTTCATTTATTAAGGGAAAAAAGCTGTCCAAACCTACCTCCCTACGTGAAAAATTATTTGCCCCTCCTCTTAAATCATGAAAGAACTGTGATTAACCACATTATTTTAGAAAGCTGAGTTAAATTTCACTAGCC